GCCCTAGTGTGAACTGTGAGCCCTGAGCGTGTCCATCAGAAACCTCACCTCACCAGTTGTGTACAAGTCACAGAGCAGGTTCAGATTACCAGTATTTTTCCACTTTCAAGAAGGAGACAACAGTGAATGTTAGATTTTATTATGATGAATTTTTAAATCTAAAACAAGGTTTTACTAAAACAAGTCAGTGGATAATGTTGTTAGAGTCTCTAAAAGCAAAGCAGGAGGCCCACAGAGTCCAGCATTTTGAGAATGGAGTGTTCAATGGCAAATGTTGATTTACTTTTACACATTTAGACTGATTTTGTCAGTGAAACTCGAGGTTCTTTGCACAAGTGAAGTGGCTACTTCCAATCACTAGAGCAATAATCATGGCCACTTCTGGCCCTGTCAGGTGTCAGCCCCACACAGCTCTCCTAGGAAAACATGTTGGCAAGTGACTTTAAAACTGTAAGTGTTATGACTTGTTACTGTCATTTCAAATCATTCGTTACATTACATATTACTGCATTTAAAATGTAACACATTACATTACATTACTTCTTGAAGTTACTCTCACCAAAATAACAGTGAAGAGATGATGATGACATATATGGACTAAACCAGGAAACCAGTCTAAAACAAGACAAACTGGTCTAATCAGGACTAAACCGGGACCAAACCAGGCTAATCTTGGACTAGAATGCAATCGCGCAGCGGTTTGCCCTGTGCAGTGTGGAGTTCAGCGTCGTCCTTTCGTCTCGGTGTTCAAGCTGCGATATCGCTGTGATTTAGTGAATTTGCCATGAAGAAAACAAAAAAAACACAATCACTCCAGGTTAAAATACATTGAAATTGTTATTACATTTGTACGGGTAAAATAAACATTTTTCCCTCAATGCCTGACATTACTGCGTCAAAAAAGCATGCATTACAGTAATTGTTACTTTTAAACTGTTACTCCAACACTGTGTGACAAATGACATCTGCCTGAACACTGATACAGGCACATCTTGATCTTCTTAGTCCTGTGCTGCTTCGACACTGTCCGTCATGGATCTTCTTTCAGACACTGGAGGACTGGGAGGGAATCTCTGGCACTGCCCTAAACTGGTTCAAGTCCTCACAGGGCTCCAGGCTGCAACTGTATGCTTGTATTTTGGCCCTTCTTTTTTCTTTGAGCTTTTCATATGTGCAACTCAATTTTATTGTTTTTTTTTTTTTTTTTGTTAATGTGAGAATTGTCTTACCATCTTGAAGGCCATGTATCAGGAAACACATGTATCAGGATACGTATCGTATCGTGAGGTTGTTGCAATACCCAGCCCTATTATTTAGGTTACTGTCTAGTTTAATTATGATACATATTGCAGCCCAAGCCTTTAATGCAGAAGATCTGCAATAAAAAAAAAAGAAGAAACAAACAAAACAAAACAAACAAGAAATATGTCCGTTACAACCAATTTCATCTTGAGGTGGATGTCCCCTTCCCATTATGAGAAAATGTCTATCCTCTGGGCTTATATATTACATTTTCTCAGATCTTGTTTTTATTTGACCAAATGTTTTAGCACTCTGTAGATTTGTGTGACAGACGATGTCCTAGTTTTGTTTGGCCTTGCCTCTACCCACTTCAGATCCGCCCCTCTGATCAGCCTCACCTGGCCCGCTTGATCAGTGGGGGTATAAAAGCCCAGAGCTGCCACAAGAAGAGTGACCAGTGGGTCCACTGCTGCAGCTATCTGCATTGTTTATTTTTGTGTTATCTTTATCTGATTTTGTACACCTTTTTTAGCACTTTTTTGTAATAAATATTATTTTTTTTTGACACCACCACGCTTCCAGCTTTTGTTCCACACCCAGTTTATTTTAACATCTTTTTTCAGTTACCGTGCCACCTCCTAGACACTCGTGGCATGTAACAATTTGCCCTTGGGGAGTCCACTCTGTTAAAAAGTTCCTGTGAGTATTTTCCTGTTGGAGAGGCCAGAGGATGTGCAGAGAGAGCTTAGTTTCTCTAAAAAAAATCACAATTTGGAAACATAATTTTGCCCACAAGCTTTAGGGAAATGTAAGTACAACTTTCTATTACAACTCAAAAATGTATTTACCTCAATTAAAATATATATATTTCAGTTTTCAGTTGAATATAAATTAGTTGTTGCATACATTCATTTCAACTCTCAACAACAGTAACATTATATTGGCCACATGATGCAGCATTAAAGGCCAATGTGTTTCACTTGTCACTATGTCATCAGTTCAGTATTAGTGGAATTTGTTACAGTTAAATAATCTTGATAATCCTGATGCAATTTTTATTTATTTATTTATTTTCTTACATGAGACAGAGAGCTAACCCAAATATTTGGAGAATGAGAAATAGTTATGGGAAACAACTGAAAGTAATATTTGAACTCAACAGTTTTCATGGAGGATGAATTTAGATTTGGCTGCAGGTTCAGAGACAATTAGTTATAAACAGGTCATGTACCATTTTGATTTACCAAATCAGTGTGTGTGTTCATGTCTCAGTACAGGTGATGTTAAAGAGCCCTGTTTAAGTGTTCTGGTGCAGATGGAGTTGCTTTGTTTGGCAGATTTCACATATGGAGTTAGTGGCATTACACACTTTTAGAAATCTATCTGAATAAATACAAGACAAAGTACATAGTGCACCTTTAATGTGGACTGTGGTTGTGCTGTAACTCTGCCCAACATGAGGTCAACTCTCTGTAAGAGTGTCATAAGCAGTGTGCATACCTGTACACACACACACACACACACATATGCATGTGTGTGAGCTGAGCTGGGACTAAGAAGAACCTAAGAATCTAAGAAGCTTTTAACTCTGCTCCATGGAAATCTCCTTTGCTCAGGAGTGAGCCCCAAAACAGAGAATGAATCACCACACCACAAGAAAATCCTGTAGATTTGTCACATGGTGTGTGGGAGTAAACTAGACTAGACTAGAGTAGACCAACTATTATTATCATTTACTGTAAAACTCTGGTTACGTCTTTGTTATTTCCCTTGAACTGGTTGAACTTGACTTCCTTGAACTGGAACCACTCCCTTTAGTGGATTTCTTCTTCCTTCCTGCACCATTTAATTATTAAGGAACTTTTGAGCTTTGTTCCGTGTACCATTCATTCTTTTGAATTTCAATTAAGAACAGTTTATTTCATTTTTCCATTTTAGTGTCAAAAAAAAAAAAAAAAAAAAAAGATTTTGACCTATTTACAATATTTAATTTAAAGTTTATTTCAAATAAACACACACACATTGTGAGTATTTCAGTGTTGATATTTTATTCTGTCTGGTTTCTATGGCCCGGATGTTAGGCTGCTTATGTTACACTTAAGCACACGCCGCATGTGAATTCAGTATCAACTGAACAATCTAGCAAAATGTATACGCAGCAGATTGACAGCGGAGGTTCCCAGAGATTCACCGCGGATCTGGAAAACGGATCAGTAACGGAGTGCACTTGCACAGAAACACAGCGGATCAGTCGCAGATCCACCACAGATCCTTAAAAATAAGCCTGGATCTGCGGCGGAGGTGCCGCTGATCTGGGATTATTATATCACTAGGAACCTACACTACCATTCAAAAGTTTGGGGTCACCCAGTCAATTTTGTGTTTTCCATGAAAAGTCACACTTATTTACCACCATGAGTTGTAAAATTAATAGAAAATACAGTCAAGACATTGACAAGGTTAGAAATTATTATTTATATTTGAATTTATTTATTTTTTTTTCCCTTCAGTCTTTGCTTTCGTCAAAGAATCCTCCATTTGCAGCATTTTCAGCATTGCAGACATTTGGCATTCTAGCTGTTAATTTGTTGAGGTAATCTGGAGAAATTTCTCCCCACGCTTCTAGAAGCCCCTCCCACAAGTTGGACTGGCTGGATGGGCACTTCTTGTGTACCATACGGTCAAGCTGCTCCCACAACAGCTCAATGGGGTGTAGATCTGGAGACTGCGCTGGCCACTCCACTACAGATAGAACACCAGCAGAGGCACAAATCCATGTTTGTAAAATATACATGAAAACAGTAGAGTTATAGAAATATAATATTTAGACTGGGATCTACCTCAAGAGATGGAGTTGTCACTTCTCTCGTCTTCATTAAGTTAACTGCTCCAATCGTAACTTTATTGCTACTGCACTCATCAAAACTGATAAAACACACAGTCACAGATGTACAGACATCATAATTTAATGTTAATGTTATGTACATTAATGATGACTAATACAGTGAATCTCTTAACTATATGTATAAGTCAATGAACCAGCAGTGGATCTGTTCATGGATAGTCACATCCATTAGTTTATCGCCAGGCTGCTTCCTGTTTCTCGTTGTGGTGTTCAACAATGACTTTCTAAAACATAAAAGTAAATGTGTCACTATAAAACAAAAGGACATGTTCACAAAATT